TAAAGGAGAAGTGAAGTGAGAGTAGAAAGTGAGGGATGTGAGGACTGTAGGGGCTTGGAGGTGTGAGTGCAGGAGGTGTGCTAAGGAGGTGAGGTAGGGAAGCCAGAAGATGGTGTGGAATTTGGGAGAAAGGGTAGGAGGAATGGGAGTAGAAGATGGAGTAGTGGCATGGGAGGGACATACACTTAGAGGGGAGCATGGTGCGAGGATAGAGGAGGAGCAAAAGACTATGAGTGCAGTGGATAAAGAAAATAAGGCGTGAGTATTGTTTGGAAAGGGTGACAAATAGGAAATTAGGCAGGTTGTGGGTCATTGGTATATGGATGGGAGTGTTGGGTATGAGCTAAAATGGGGGAGGAGCACTGTGGGAGAAGGTTGTGGTAGGAGTAGTTCAGAATGGGAATCTGGAGAAGTGTATTTCAGCATGAGACTGCTTTGCCATCCCCAGCATATGTTCTATACTAGCCATGCGCATTGCCTCTTCTCTGTGTCTGCTCTATAATTCCTGGCTCCTGGTCCTTCCCAGAGCCCCATGCTCATGATCCTCAGTAATGAAAGGATGAGTGCCTATGGATCTGGAGGCCTCTCTCACAGGGCTGGATTTGCCAGGGTTCCTAGGCGGCTGGCTGCTTATTGACTGCCTCCATCTTCCTCCACCCCTAAACAGAAATCAGGGCACCACTTCAGCTTCAAGAGCTCTGGATCAGAAAGTACACTTGTAGTGCAATGCTTTCAGTGACAACAGGGACCACTGGTCAACCTGAGGCTCTTTCCCTTTGCCCACTACCCTGAACTCTCTGCTCTCAACACCTCTCATTCCCACCATTAGACCAGAGTCCTGCTTGGCAGGATAGCTGTGGCAGGTGGGAGGAGAGAAGGCAGTGAGGCAGAAACAGCTGCTAGCTGGAGTGGAGGAAGAGCAGGGCCCCAGCGGGTATGGGCAGAAGGCGAGGTGTTGGCTCTGGCAGCCCCCACTCTCTGTGTGTGGGTGTTGAGGCTCAACCACCTTGTCAGACCTCCCTATCCAATGCCACTGTTCAGGGAATTGGCTCTATTCATGTGCCTAAACTCTGTACTGAGAGAGATCTCAGAGGCTACTTGGTCCAATGGCCACATAATCCTACTCCCATAATCTGGTGGGAATCACTTCCATAGCATGTCTAGCCAGGAATCAGGCCAGACCTTTCCTGAGATCAGGAATGAACCTCCTCCTAAGGCAGCCTGTTCCTTGTGAAGGAAAATACTGTGAAGTATGTGCCTCTAATGTGCCAGACCTAGATCCTATACAGACTTCTCATTAATATTGATCACGTAGGACTGTTTTGATTAATTATCTCCATTTTACAAATGAGAAAAGCAAGGCCCAGAGAATTGAAGTACTTAGCTTGAGGGCACACCAGTAAGAAATGAGGAAGCTAGAATGGAAGGCAAGCCTTTCTAACTATGAAGTCTGTCTGAGTACAATTAGGACATGCTTCTTCATTTGTACCAGAACAACTCTACTGAAGTGTAGGATCTGAGACCAGATTGTATCCTCCTGAATCTCTTCTTGTCCAAGTCAAACTGCTCTCACTTTCTCTAGAAGAACTTGGGTTCGAGGCTCCTATGTGACCTGGCCTGTTTGAGTCCCAGAATCAAACAGTCTGGTAGATGGGTGTGGATCAGTTCAGAATTGAGCAGAACTGTTACATCTTCCCTCGCACTAACCATTATCAATACTAGCCCCTCTTGGATGAAGAGCTATGACAGAAGAGGCTATGAGTTGACTCCCACTTTTACCACTCCTCCCAGTCTGAGTGTTCTGAATTGAGAGTAGGAAAGAGGCAGAGGTGGGGGGAGGAAATAAGAGACAGGGGCATGGCAGGATTGGGAAGATGGAGAGCTGGAAGAATTAGGTGATTGTCCAGTACTCCTAGGCACAGCTAAGGGATAGTTAGAACTTTGGAGTGCATGAGGAAATAATGCAGAGGTCAGGCATGGTTCTAGGAGCTGGGAGAGACCAGGATGGGGATGGGCATCAGACTGCCTGAGCTAACATCGCCCTGCTGAGCGAGAGGAAGTCAGTCGCACATTAAGGAAATGTTGCAGCTGGTACTAAATTGGGAGGTGTCACAGACAGCAGTGAAGACAGGTATGATTTGCGGGGCCCTGTGGGGCCCAAAACAGGGGCAGATATCTCAGAGGGAGGGAACAAGGTTTCTGGGGCCACCTAGAAAGGATTTGACTGAGGTGCTGTAAACAAAGGCTCTGGGCCCTGGGCCCTGGGTCACGTGGCTCAAAACTAGGTTCCAGGCTCGATTTTCAGATGAGAGGAAGCCTCTTCATCCTGGCCTTGGTCTGTAAGCTCTCCACTCAAGATGAATGTGAGGCTGGGGCATCTTCTGCCAGCAATTCCATTTAGGGTAGGGGCTGGACAGACAGGCTCAGAGCTTGGGAGCAGGCTCAGGGATGGGCAAAGAAGTCTGTGAGGGAGGTTGGATGAGGAACTGTGGGAAAAGGGAGCTGCAGAAAAAAGCAGGACTGTCTCTCCCATCCACTTAGTATTCATAATACAGCTGGATTTGAGCGCCCTGTGGTTCCAGGCCTCAGTTGAGGAAGAGAGCTTTGGAAGAGGTAAGAAAGACAGGAAGAGTGCTGAATAGCTGGCACTGCCCTTCTGTCTGCACAGCAGGCAGGAGTTTACTTGCTCACAGGAGAGAGACAAGGAGACAACAGAGAAGAGGGAGGGCTTTAGGGAACTTGACAGGAGGTCATGCACTTAGCACTGAAATATACAAGTTGGAATCCTGGAACTTCTGCACATTGGTGGAGTGACCTCATGGCAAAATGCCTAGTCCTTCTGCACCTCAGTTTCCTCATCTGCAAATGAAGTAATGATGCTAGCTAGTATCACTAACCTTCCTGGGTAGTTAACTTCATAACATATGTGAAAGGGGTTGAAATCCCTACACATTACATTAATGTTAGATGTTAAATTCTTATTACAAAATACTATTAGTTACCTCTTTCCACTTAATTATCACAAAAGACTCAGAACGTGGTAGAACAAGGATTGTGATTCTAGTTTAACAAATGAGGAAATGAAAGCTTAGGGATGGAAAGTGACTTGTCCAAGGTCACACAGCTAACAAGTCATAGAGGCCTCCTGAATCAGAGATAAGTTGTCTTCTCCTACATCAAACTGCTTGGTAAAAATAATCAGTGTGAGAAGTTACTATTGAGTATGGGATCAGATGGGACTTGGAACCAACTATAACATAAAGAAAATCCCATGGGAAAGTTATGATGTGGCTCTCATTCATCCTGATGATTGGGAGGGGAGAGAGTGGTACACAGTTGGGGCTACGTGTTTGGAGAGAAAAGAACAAGAACCTGAAATCCTTTATTCCATCTCCTAGAGGACTAAGTCCTTCTGCTCTCACTGAGTGAATGGGTCTGTGTTGGACATTGAGAGTATGTCTCTGTATGACAAAATGTGTCCTTCTTCATGTTACAGCACTTCTGCCTCCCTGACACTGACACTATGGGGAAACGTGTGTGTGTGAGAGTGAGAGAGACAGAGACAGAGACAGAGAGTCTGCATCTGTGGCACTGTTGGAGGCTATAATGACCTTTCTGGATCTCTATGTGACTTTGCCTGGGGTAGTGGTGGTAGTGTTCTGGCTCTGTGTGTATGTGTCTGTCTATACACCTTTAAGAAGTGGAATATCTCATTTGGTAGTGTGAGTGAGGCAGTGAGTCAGCTGAGGCTGAGGGAGGCGGGAGGGAGACTGCTAGCTTACGAGAACAGGAAAAGGGAGGAGAAAGTGAAGTCAGGATCAAGGAGCTACCCCTTTCCTCCACAATCCTCTGCCCCAAATCCAGATGGAACCCACCAAGAGATCTGGAACCTTGCAGAAGTCTGTAAGGGTCATGGTAGCTGGAAGAAGACAATTTCTGTTCCTCCCCAAAGCCTTGGAGGGAGATGAGGTAGGCTAGGAGGCAACGATCTCCCCCTCCAGCTCTTGGCCCCAGCTCGAGAATGTATGAGGCCACCATCCCACCTAGTCTCCTTGTCACTTGACCCTTTGACCTTGCTTTTTCTGTTTCCTTCCCAAAACAGACTACCTGGCCAGGTGAGGAGAAGAGGGAAATAGCATCAGAACCCAGATATTTACAGCCCCCACACACATACTATTCAGAACAACCTTACTGGGGGTGAAGAAGTTTCTCAGCACTCAGCTCTTCCCTGGGCAGGCATGTTCTGCAGCTGCTTCGCCTCTTGCTTCCTCTGGATGCTTGTGGCTAGCAGTAGGAAAAGGTATCTCTCCCCACTCCCCCTCCCTCATCCAACACCAACCTGGGATGCTGGGATGGAAGGCAGGGGGAATTTTGTATTGCACCAACCTTTAGTGGCCCTTTTACAGCTGGAGTGTTCTGTGTCCCATTCATTCCTTTGTTAAAGGACAGGAGCCTGCAGGTTCTGTCCTAAGGAGAAGGTAGGCACCTCTGGGCTCTACCTGCCTAGGCTGTGGTCAGCTACCTCAAGTCATATAAGGTCAACAGTATGGTGTGCCCTGCCACCAGGAGTGACAGGAGCCAAAGGGCATGGGTTCGGTTGCCAAAATGTTTTTGTGCCACTTTTGGCCTTCCCCTGCACTGGCCATTCCCAGGAAGTTCAACCCTGGCTCAGTAGGTAGGCAACCTGGCTGAGGATTGGGGGAGGGGGGAGTTAAGTCTCTGGGGCTGGCCAGCCTAGGACCCAGGACCCCTCCCCCTCCTTCCTCCTGCAGGGGTGGGGCTCCAGGGAGGCCCAGCTCTAAAAAGCCCACACCTGAATCAATAGAAGTTGGCCAGCTGATTGATTACCTATTCCGAATCCCTTGGCCTCGTCCCTCGGGAGGGGCTCCGGGCGGCACTTACAGTGCTGCACTGGAAATGGTGAGTAGGGAAGGGAACCGTTTTGCTCCCTGATCCCTTGCCCGAGCCCAGTCTTCCTGGCCGCGGTCGCCTGTTCCTACCTTACAGCCTTTTGTGCAGGACCGGATGGAGTACTCTTCTGCCTGTAAATATTTATGCAGCACGAGGTCGAACTCGTCATATTTTTCCTGAGCATGTCGGTCCAGTCTCTGGTAAGCCTCGATACAGTTGCTACATGCCTCCCAGGTCCCGGAGCCTGGGCTGGCCACTACAGCCAGCAGGTCCCCCAGCAGGGTATCCAGACTGCAGTCCAGGCTGTCGGGGCGGTCCATGCCCAGCAGCAAGTCCCAGACCGAGTAGGTGTCGCAAAAGGAGAGAGTGAAGTTCCGAAAGTGGCCTTTGAGCAAGTTTTTCTTGGCGGAGGGGAACTCGGCCGGGGCACGGGAAGGGGAGTCAGGGGGCCGAAGAGGGGGGGCTGGGGTAGTCGGTTCGAAAAGTCTCTGCAAAGATTCCAATTTGGTGCAAGCTGCATCCAGCCCCGTTGGCTCGGGGATGCCGCCGCAGACCGGCCCGGGGCCGGCGGCGGGGGCGGCTTTGGTCAGGTTGCTGTATCGGGGGCTGCAGGAGCCCGGGGGTGCTCTGGGCTCACCCAGCGACGACGGCGGTGGCTGCAGCGCTCGAGGAGGCACCGGTGGCCGCTCCCGGCCGGCCCCCCAGGGCGGCCGCATGGTGCTGCTCAGCTCTCTGGCCCGGGGCCGGGCCCCCGCGCACAGCCACAGATGGTCAGCGAGCAGCACGGTGAAGAAGAGCAGGGACGCCAGGGACAGTCGCCATCGCTGCGCCCGCTCAGAGTCGGCGCAAGGTTTGTCGCTCGGCCTGGGAGCCCAGCAGCAGCAGCAGCAGCAGATAGTCAGCGCGGCGGCGTCTTTCTCGGGCCACATCCAAGCGCCCCAGAACATATTTCAGGGGAGTCCGGGCTGGAGGGAGGAGGCAGGCGCGAGGCCGGACGGCCGTCTCGTCTGAAGCGAGCGGGCTGCGCACCGCTCGGCGCTTCTCGGCGCCGTCCAGGCACTACCTCGGGGGCCGCATGGTGACACAGGCCGGCCGGCCCCGGGCGCTCCCCACCCCTCCGCTGAGGCCGGAGTAGCGGAGCGCTCTCGTGCCGTCCCCGCGCCCCTCCCGCGCTCTCTCGCTAAGCCCGGGGCGCCGCCGCTCGGCCCCCGCTAGGCGCTGCCCAGAGTCCCGGCGGGAGGCGGTGCGGGGCACTGGGGCGGTGGCGGCTGCGGCGGCGGCGCCGCACTCCTCATAGTGTCGCTGCCCTCAGCTCCGCACCACTTCACTCCGCCTCGGCGGGCCGCCCGCCTGGCACTCTGTTCCAGCCGTCTCGGCTTAGCGCAGCTCTGCGCCCCTCAGCGCCGCCCTGCGGGCCCCACCGCCGCGCACGGCTTCTCTCCGCTCCCCTCGCCCGGCCGCCCCGCGCCCGAGCGTCCGGCCGCCCACTGTCCGCTCCGTGCCGCTCCCTGCCTCGCCCGCCCCCTTCTAGGCCATCCAGCCAGTCCACTGGCCAGCCCTTTGGGCTTCTCTCGTGCTCCGCCCGTTGATCCGGGTCGGTCCCGGGCCGGCTCCGGTCTGGCTCTGCACCCTCTGCTCCCGGAGTACCGGCTCGGGCGGGCCACCTGGCTCCCCGCAGCGCCACAGGCGCCGGACGCCGACACCCAGCTTTACTTAGTGCGCCTCTAGCTTCCGCCTCTCGTTCACACCGCTGTGGCGGCCGCCCAGAGGCACGGCCCCGTGGCTCCCGCTGGCCATGCCCCCTCAGTCTGTCGCCATCTTCCGCTGTGCGGAGAACACCTTGAGAGCCCGTGTGCGAGTGTGTTTGGGGGGAGCGGGGCGGAGAAAGAGGCACCGAAGAGGAGGAGGGAGCGGGTCTGGGGCCCCGACTGCGCCTGCGCCTCAGGACTACCCCCCCCCCCCTTCACCCCCCCAACCCAGCCCCCGCCGGCCGCAGCCTGTGCTGTTTGGGGATGTTTCCAGTCCACCCCCAACTCCATTCACTTCAGCGCCTCTGTTCATCCGCCCGCTCCCCGCGTGCACACGCCACACGCTGAGTCCCAGGCCCAGGAGCTCCCCCTCCCCCACCAACCCTGGCTCCAGCCTCCCTCCCCAGGGCGCCCCCCCCTCGCACTACCCCCGCCCCCGAGGGCGAGGAGACTTCTGAGGGTTATTCTAGGAGCCGGGTGGCAAGAGGTGTCTCCCTAGCGTTTCACTGCCTCCATGGGTAGCTTCCCTGTCCCCATGACTAGGAGACACCAGAGCCGGCTGCCGCCAATCGGACCAGTCCCATGTTCCTAACTCTGCGTTTGCCCTCACTGTCTTGCCCGAGGCCAAGGCGGCCCCCGGTGCTGAAGGACAGCTCCCATCTAGTTCGGCTTAGGTAGAGGGCTGCCCTTGGAGAGCTTCCTCAAGGAAGCCTGACAGTGGGGCTAAGATGGGTAGTAGTGATGGGGTGTCATTTTTGCCCTTAGGAAGATTTCCAGCAGCCTCTCCCCCCCCCCCCCCCCCCCCCCCCGCCACAACCCCGGCACTGGCTTTCTGGCTCCCCCTACAGGTTGCTTAGAATAGCTGTGCAAGAGTTAGGCAAGCTGCGCCGTGCTGCCGGGATGGAACCATGTGCTTGGGGCCCTCCCAGAGTCACATGGCACTAAGAACTGGGATAGATAAACGTCCTGCCGCGCCACTAACCTTGTTTGGACTCCCCCAAATCTCAGATTGTTCCTTTCATCTACTTCCTACTCCCATTAACTCTTGCATTTTAGTTTTTTAACCAACTATTACTGGCAAAGATTTATTAATATTAAGAATACTAACAATAAATAAAATAGCCTTTATTGACCAGACAGTATATGCTGGATACTGTGCTAGGTACTTTGTGTGCATTACTCACCTACTAATGTTCACAATAATCCTATGACATAGGTGCTACTCTTATCTTTATTTGCAGAGAAGGAAACTGAGATTTAAAGTGGGTTACATTGCCTAAGGTAAAAGATACAGCTAGATAGAAACACAGGCTATAAGAGCCCTCTTAACATTCAAACAAAATCCTGGAAAGATAGAAGGGTAGGTGACATGGACCTGCTTTAAAGGAAATCACAGTTTATACGACTAATTCACACATACATATCTACTGGCTAGTGGAAGGATTCATGGAGTGAAAACATACAGATTCCATCTCTGATTTTGCTATGGTCTCTGACTTAAATCATTTGCCTTTCAACCTTGCTTTTTCCCTGAAGAACATGACAATATGCCAAAGATAAACAAGACTAGTGGGAATACATAGGCCTATTAAGAACTTATTCACTATGGTGGGGGCATGAAAGGTTTCTAGAAGAACAGGAGCTGGTTCCTGGTGAGTGCCTAGATTATTCCAGGTAAAGAGGATGTAAGTGAAGAAATTCATGAAAAGCAACTTTGTATGTTTGTGAGGCCATGAATGTGACATGAAACTGTTACAGTTGCTGCAGGTCATTAATGGGGAACTAGAGGGAAAGGAGACCAGAAGCAAAACTGTCAGACATTAGAAGCCTATTCAAACACTCTCATGGAGTTGGCAAAGGACACTGAGGTGGACCAAACATAGTTTTGTCTTTAGGACATTGATATGAGATTTCCCTTCCATGAAAAGAGGAACAAGTCAACTCTTCTAGCTTCCCTCAGAGGTGATTTTGCCCATGATCACCTGAGTTGAGATATTCATTCTTTCATTTGACAAACATCTATCAAGGATCTTTTATACTCTGTATGGTATACTAGGTAGGTAGGCATCAGCAATACAGACACGGGTAAATCAATAATACAGACATATTGAGACTGAAGGAGATGAGTTGGTCTTAATTAAAGGATGAATGGAAACTAGCAGTGTGGGCATAGGCAACTCATGGGTAAAAAAAAAAAAAAAGTAGCAAAGCCAGGAAAGGCATCTTCAGAAACCTGCCAAGTAGTTCATCGTGACTAGAAGTGAAGTGGGAGCACTGCCAAATACAAGCATGAGGATTTGGCAGGGGCCAAATCATGCAGAGCCCTGGGTGCCATGCTAAGTAGTTGGAGTTTATTTCAAGGGTACTACGAGTCATGGATGAGACTGTAAAGTTCTCAGGAAGAGGTGACAAGATGACAAGATGAGCTTTTATTTTTAAAAGATTGATATGGATGCTACAGGAAGACTAGATTGGATGGGGTCTAACCTATCTCATCTCACCAGCTTCCCTGGCTTTCACAACTGCTGATGGAAGCATGAAGAGGAAGAATTGAGAAGGTTGGTCAGAGCCTATCAATTGCAAGAAGCAGCAGGCAACTCTAGCACCTCTGCTCACCTTGACTGTTCTTCCCCAGCCAGATTAGAAGCTGAGAAGCAACCTAATGCTGAGATTAGTAGGCAGGTTGTGTGACTATAATCTTTTCTTGCTTATGATAGATATAGCCTACAGACAGGAGGAAAGTTCCTCCAACTATGGGGACAGGAAGGGATGGAGGATGACATCTAGGCAGAGTACAAGGAGCTAAAGTTTAGGTTGCCTTTAACCATCCTGATACTTATCTTACAAGTTCTTAGGTTATCACTTTATTATATGCCCTTCTGTTGATCTTTTGCTAATGCCTTTTTTGAGGAGAGGATAGTAGCAGGGCCTGGGCACTGTCCCTGAGCTTTTTACTCAAGGCTAGTGCTCTACCACTTGAGTCACAGAGCCACTTCCGACTTAAAAAAATATTAGAGATAAGAGTCCTATGGACTTTTCTTCCCAGGCTAGCTTTGAACCATGATCTTCAAATGTGTCCTAAGTAGCTAAGACAGCAGGCATGAGCCTCTGGCACCTGCTTGCCCATGACTCTTAAAGACTTGGATTTGAGCGTGATGCCGGTGGCTCACTCCTGTAATCCTATCTGCTGAGGAGGCTTAGATCTGAGGATTTCAGTTTCAAGTCAGCATGGGCAAGAAAGTCTATGAGGCACTTATCTCCAATTAACTAGCAAAAATCCAGAAGTATAAAGTGGCTAAAATGTACAGCACCCACCTTTAGTGAAAAAGCTCAGGGACAGTGCTTAGGCCCTGAGTTCAAGCCCCAGCACACACACACACACACACACACTCACACACACACACACACACACACACACACACACATACACACCACATGGAGAATGGTTAGGAGACAGGTTTGATTAGTCCAAGTGAGAAGGGTTGAGGGATGAACAAAGGCAGCATAGTGGGAATGGAGAGACTAAATGCATATGGAAGGGAAATGAAAGTTAGAACTTAGGACTGGCCTAGATGAAAGCAACATAAGACAGGGACTGTAGAAGGGAAAAGCCAGAGTTCTAGTTAGTAACATTGGAACAACTGTCCCTGCCCATTTAGGAATTGTCTTTTCTGAGCCATTCTTTGTTTAGTCCTTAGAGATTTCAGTGTTCTGTTTAACAAAGAAGTCTACTAGCTTACAGATATGTAGTTTAAAGATGATTGGCAGAGCATCTGTGATTGTCACCCTTGAGTGCCAATGAAAGAGCAGCCTGCTAGGCCAAGGAAGGTTATGAGCTCTGAGCACCTCTGAAGCTTTCTGTGACAAGTCACTCAGGCAAGACTCCCTCTCTCTCCCCAATACACACAAGGTAAAAAGTGTATCACAAAAGACCATTTATCATAGAAGTACAATGTAACAATAACTTACCCACACAGTACCTGCTGCACACAAAGGAGAACTGGTAACATACCAGCGGTCAGAGAAGGCTCTCATTCTCTCACTCTTGGGGACACAAGTAAGTGGGATGAGGACAAAGAGAACGTTGGCCTCTAATGCATGGCTGGACAAGAATGGACAAGGGAGGGGAGTGGAGTGGTCCATTGCTCCCTGTAAATGGTAGGCCCTGGCCAGCCTTGTTCTCACCCTTTCCTTTCCAC